TTTTACTGTATCCCTTGTAAGGAAGCCTTTTTAGATGTGTAGTATTCCCAAGATCCTGTACTGCTTGTAGTGTAGAGCTATTTATAAAAAGTACAATGTGTGTATATTGTATTTTGCCTTGGCTGTATAAAGCATTCCTGTGAAGCCCTACAGGGGACATAGCAATGTTTTATTCTCTGAAAATTATAATGTTGTTGACAGAAAACAATGGTTTGGTGGTACATTTGTCTATAGCTTTTTTCACATTTTTACACACTTGAATATAAAGCCATGCTAAACAGTGTCTCACACACATTGATACGACACACAAATACACTCCAACACACAAAAGAACCTCCTTAGAAGTTTATTGCAAAGTTGACACCTGTCCAGATCATTTGTATTTTGTACCATTCTAAAAATAATACTATCCCAGAGTCCACCAGTGTACAGCACCTTCACATATCCCACAAACCACCTGAGCGAAGGGAAGAGCACCATACTGAGTACCGTATACAAGGAACCACAATCACCTACAACGATCCATAAAATTGTGTCTTTAATGTTACTAAGTCGTTCACCCCCCAAAAATGTTATGAACCAAAAAATAATTTAAAATTAACTCGTCTACTAGTGTTAATGGTATCTACCACACAAATATGCAGTATATTGACCCTATCTAAACCTACATTGTAAACTTATAAATAATACATCAGTATCTATATTTGTATAGAGGAGAGTTTTGTTTGCGGTGACTTGGGACAACTTTAAGATAACGAGCAACCCTATGGTAGTTAAAGAGATAAACACTAATCACTTAGAGTGGAAAGCAAAACATGCTGGGCATCAATACGGACAATAAAAATGCCTCCGCTCCTGAGGCGTCGCCAAAAATGACATTTTTCGCATGCATGATGTAACCAACAGCATCAATGCATGTCTTCCCAGATATCAGATGCAGACTTCTGAAGTCGTTTTTGTTACTATACTGCTCAACAACTGGAAGGTGAGTCATTACAACATTCTTTTCTGTCGTTCTCCAAAAAATAGTCCAGTCTTCCCTTTCTTTAGAAGCTTACTGCAACTGCATTAGTACTTGCAAGGCACATGATCATCCTTAGCATGGACACTGGAGCCCATGAATATGTTTCAAGCAATGTTTTGACTTGAGTGCTTTGTTTCTATATTGATCAATACTAAACTTCCTTACATCTCCTATTTGTTCATGAATTGTACATCACATCATAGTTAATGAAATGTAACACCAATAATGTACCTTTTTTTACCATTTTCGCATGCGCGAAAATGGTAACTCAGACGAGATTGAGATTGGATGGATGGATGGTTCGACGGTTCGACCCTTCAACGGCTATGCAGACATGCTGAGTCACCGCATGTCGCTAGATGTCGTTGTTGCGACGGCCATGCAGACATGCTGAGTTGCCGCATGTCGCTAGATGTCGTTGTTGCGAGTGCACTTTTTACCATTTATGCCTTGGACGTTTGTATACTTTCCATTATGGTTGCTAATTTCAAAATCATAGTTCTATTAATGTTGCATAACAAAGCTGCTGACAAAACAAACTTAATTTGTCTTGAACAATAACTTGATTTTATTATTTGCCAAAAATGTTGATAAAGACATGTCTATAATCACAGTAATCAAGGATTTTAATA